GCTTGCTCCCAGGATAGAGTTTTTGGTTTCAACGCAACTTCATTCTCCTCCACGATGCAGTACTCGGCCCATGCGGACGCACGATGCACGTTCGACATTCCGAAAATCTCATCTCCTGGTTTGAACTTGCAATCCTCCGAAAAGACCTCCTCAACAATACCCGACAGGTCGTTTCCGAGAATGGCATGGTCTTGGCGATAGGTTTCGGGCCACGTCAACATGTCACGAATCACCGTTGTAGCCTTGACACGGACAATGAGTTCGCCTTTTTTCGACAGCTTAGGAATAGGCACGTTTTGATCGAGGTACAAGGCTGACGACGGTGCCGGATTCGAGGATGAATACGGAGCGGTAGATGAAGGAGCTGAACCCACACGAATCGCCTGCATTGCGAAAGATTTTACGATGTCTTAGTTGATATGTCCGACTTGGGTGCAGATTTGCAAGCACGGCTCTCCAAATGTAGCCCTGAGTTGATGGTTTCAATTATAGTGGAGGTGGAGACTCCAAAAGGATTTCTAATACAGTCAGCTCTCATAGGCGGTGATTGGAAGGGAGAGAAACTATAATACGAAAATGACGTGGTGCTCCAAATGTCATGAGTCAGCTTGATCTACATGGATCTTCTTATCTGAATGACTACTCTAGGTGGTCTTCGGATATTTGGGATCCAGGTGAGGTGATCTATGAGATGATGATTTGGATAGCTTCACGTTCGCTCCATACAATAGTACGCAGATCACCCGGATAGTCACTAGATTGAAAAGATCGGACGCTTTCAGACGGTTATCTCGGCATACAAATACCGGTTGATTACCGAACTTCTGACAAAACTGCCGATGCTGACAACTTTCTATCTCAGCAAAGACACCTTAAACTGATGCCGTTCAACTTCCGCGATTAGTTATGTATGAATTCATCTTAGGGAGAATTTTGGTATTATCTATTTGCTGATAGTCCCTTTAGACTAGCAGCGTCCCGGAGATAAGCCGTATCTTCAGAAGTAATGTTGGAATTCATTACACCTACCTTTCATATATGATCAATTGAATGGAAGTACATGGGAAACATAAGTAGAGCTGGCGGTCATTTCGCCCATTCTAGATTCACTCTCGAGCGGTCACCTGGGTAGTAGTGTTACCAATCGGGTATATTGATGGTTCGGTCTCTTAGTTTGGTTAACATTCCAAATCAAATTAAATCGGCTCAACCATTATCCAGAAGGTTGGCAAATTGCTATATATTGACCGTTGGAGCAATTCTCACCTACCATCAGTACTTGCTGTCATAAGAAGTCCGCTTGGTTGAAGGCAATTTCTATACTCTATCTAGGCCGTCTCCTAAATGTGTCAAAACGAAGTTGAAGTCAATGGCTGGACAAGTATGCCTGCTAATGCTGGCGCAATCTTTGGAAATAAACCCTTCATCAATGTACCAGAAACCCTGTCGATCAGTGAGATCAAGTTTCCAATTAATGACCCCATTGTTGAGAAAACTTTGAGATATGCAAAGACTGCTCTTCCCATTAAGATATTCAAGAGCAGGTGATGGGATTGGTTCTATCGATTCAGAGCCCGACTGGGTGATAATTCATTTAAAACCCACTTTCTATTCCAAAATATTGAGCAACTTCAATCAGACCTGAGCCTTCCACTCTGACCCAAAGATCGACGAACCCCTCTTCTCTGGCTCGTGTAATATCTCTACTATCCCAAGCTTCTTCCAAGGGTCTCTCGAGATAGATTGTCTGAAACCCACACTTTTTGGCGGCATGCAAGTCCTCAAGATGGGCTGCGACGAGACAACATTGCGAATTCCTGAAACCGAATCTGCGAGCAGCACCATCGTAGACCTCTGGCGACGGCTTGTAAGCACCGAAATGCTCTGCACTGGTGATGTGCTCGAAAGGCAAAGAATTGTGTTCTTGTAGGTCTTCGAGGAGTTTTACATTACCATTGGATAATGTAGACGTCAAAAATTTAGTGCTCAGCAATGAAAGGCCTGGCACGCTGTCAGAGTATGCGTCAAGTCGATGCCAAGCGAGTGTCAAATCTTTGAGATCGTCCTCGTTAAATAAACCCCAGAGAAGCCATTTGACGAGAATATCTTCCAAAGAAATGCGGTTGTACTCATCTACTGAGACAAAGGGCTTCGATGAATCGTAAGTGTCTCCGAACTTCATATATGAGCGATGCCACTCCTCAGCGATCTCCTGCCAGCTCGAAGTGGACATATCAGAGACACGTTCTCGCACATCGCCACTCAGATATCGACCTTGGTCTTGCAGAGCCCTTCGTGCTGCGTCATTCAGTTGGTCCGCGATGCAACGTCTCCATTCCACAACTGTCCCCAAGACATCGAAAAATATGATTGAAGGGAAACCATCCCGTGCCATCTTTGTCGAAGCTTCTTGAGAGATACCAAAGGATGAAGGCTTGGCATGAACTAGACTACACCTGAAAGTATACCAAATTCCTCGTCAGTCAGTGATACAGACAAAATGGCCTCAAAAGAGAAACTTGAGGGAAAAAGCAGATAACTTTACTGTTGGGAACTGGTGTAAACGTTCAGATGATACTATCGCAAGGGGATTAGGCGATTCTAAAGTGAACATCCACGCTTTCCAAAGACCTCGGATTTTATTGCTTGGAGTTACATGTGATTGGCAAGTGGAAAATCTCAACAAGGCCCTCGGGTATCGCGGTTTCACAAGGTTAGGTAAGGCGCCGAAACTAGTCAAATAAATCTGATCGAGTCATTAGGCCTCAGCGCCGCCCATGGGCCGCCCGTATGGACAATGCCGTGGGTGGCCCACGGACAGGTGTCAGACACTTTCCCTTCGCTCATGGGCTGTCCACGGGAGATGGTGTCCATTATGGGCTACCCCTGGACTGTCCATGGACGAGAAATCAGCAAACATCGTAGGAATCGCGTCTTGCGTAAGTTAGGCTCTGGTTTTGGGGTATTTTTGTCCGTCACAAGTTGTATTCAGACTTCTGCTATGCTGGTTCGTTGTCTCTTCAGGAAGATAGTAGAGTTCGTGGATCGCAAATCAGAGACAAAAGTCATTCTAAGGGCTTGAATTCCCTTCCATTAGATGCACTTGAAGGCGAATAATTTATAGAAGCTAGATTAGTGGCTATTACAAGACCGCTCTCACCGTTGTCCCCAGGCATCTCACCGTGGTGCCCCGCGCCACCCCAGGTTTCGACCACTGCCTCGCGCCCACCCATCGTCCCTGAATCGTCAACATGCGAGGGGCGGACGGACAGACCAATCAGGAGGCGAGAAAAGCAGGCGCCTCTTAAATGTCCTTGGGACCCGGAGTCAGCAAGTAATCCATGGCCTTATACCGCTTCTCCGAAAACGGGTACGCTCATCCAATCCGGATCGAATATAAGCTCGTAAAATCTAACCCTACAGCATAGTCCCTACTCCCTCAAAGTGCGCCAAATCTCGGAGTAACGGGGTACCGACAGTATGGAAACCGCGGCCTTCGAACTCCTCATCCTCCAAGCAAGGTGTATCTACTCCTGACCAGCAAAGACAGCTATGAACAGCATCCCTATAGTTTGAGCCACTCTCATGCTGCACTCTGTTCAGGACCCGGAATGCCGTGATGAACCTTGTTGAGTCTTCGTTCCCTTGCTCATCCTGCAGTATTCGAAGGGAGGTGATGGACTTTCCAAGGGAGAGTTCGGTCAGTGCTAGCCCAAGTGGGAAAAGTATTTGGTTGCGGACAAGTGGGGACCGCTGCACGTTCGTAATATCTGCAGCTACTGACCGGCCATGCTGGGAGTTTAATGACCAGGGCAGGTACAGATTGCTTGGTGGAACGTCGTCTGTACCATCGTCACCACCGTCGTGGTCTGCAGGCAGGTAGATATCAGAGGTATCCCAGTATTCCTTCAGCCAGTTGCCGTGTTATTGGATGATACCGCAACTGAATCCGGCGGCTATATAGAGCCGATGGCGTCGACTACTGTTTAATAGTGCTTGTTGAAGCGTCTGCAGCTGGATTGGCTTCGGGTGGCATTTGATAAAGTGCATGTTGTGCAGGATATTCGAGCTAGGTTGGTCAGTGACAAAGCCTACAGCTCCTTGTTTTGGCAGTTGTGTGTGCGTCTCGCTGAGGCACAGCACCACGGAACAGAAATCTAGAATGGGGGGAGCGTTGCAATGTCTAGACTTGGATGCGTAAATAGTAGCCTTATAGTCAACTTCAGCGTTTCGAAGCGAACCTATTGCTTGTGCGGTTTTTGAGGATTCCGCTGGTGCATCGGTAGGGCAAGGTTGGTAATCCACGCCAAAGCTCGATCATAACCGTGTGCCCCGAATTCCACACCTCTCCATGTCCATAAATTATTTGAACTGTTGTTAGTGTTAGAGAACGTTATCCGGTAGTTAGTATACTGCCTTGTCACTTTTCGCGTTTTCAGCGAGAGGGTTCGCTTGAAGCTGCAGGTGGGCACTGTGAGAACTCCGGCATAGACAACTACAGTAGGCCCGAAATAAACTCTTGGCGTTCTCTCGTGTTTCTCGAAATCGAGGGAGCAATCGTCACCAAGGGCTGCCCTTCTCTCGGCTAACCTCAAGCTGCGCGGTTTGCTCTAATAATAATGTTCTGAGGACGTCATTAAGGCTTCTAATCTCCCGAAGCAGATCTTCATAAACTGCTTTTAACAGGACGTTCAGGAAAAGGACAATTTGTTTTGTTGAAGGAGCTGTATTCTACATTAATTAGGCAGAAGGTTAGTGCATTGTGGGCCTTGTGGCCCCTGCGGGTCACCTGATCTCGTATATCTAAATATAAGAACTCAAGCCCGCTGCTTCACGTCACAAGCCATTGGCAAAGTTCGAATATTTCCTGATTTTGGAAGCTAAGAAGCTTACGCTCGGGGTTGCAATTTTGTCTCACCAGCGAAGGTCTGCTTGCGACTGTTGCAACACCGACTCCTCTGGTACATAACATATCGAAGGCTCCAATCCCACAACTACGGATGGACCGCTTGAAACGGCCCCATACAAAATCTCGCCAGGGATGCTTTAACTGCAAGATCCGGAGAATCAAGGTACGCAAGTTAGCGGACAGCCTCTCTACACCACTGGAACTGAGCAAGGAGTGATAGTGCCAAGAAACAAAACCAGCGTGTGCGAACTGTATTTACAGAGACCAAGACTGTGTCTACCCAGGCAAAGAAGACTGGAAATGGCGACTGGCGAAGGCGGGTCAGAAACAGATTCCGATAACAAGGGGATCACCAGCCCTTTCGTCATCTCCTCAAATTGGCACGGCTCCTTTCACCGGTGACGATCTGCGCTTTTGGCATCATTTTCTAGCCGATGCACGACCAGGTCTTCCACTGGGAGATGAGGGCACCTGGTCGTCGGAGATACCCGCGTTTGCCCTCGATGTACGTCGCTACTCACCACACCCCGCACCCGCAAACTGTAAACATTGTAGCTGATCCCGTTGGCTCATGTACAGTGTCCTCATCTCATCCATGCATTACTTTCTCTGGGCGCATCACACTGCTCCCTAACCACCTCGCAACGGTACAAGTACGCCCCTCTTGCTATCGCACACCGGGGCAAAGCTCTCAAAGCCCTCAACGCTATTCTTGCCAAAGGCGATAACTGCACTATAACCGAAATGGACAGTGCTCTAGCAACATGCTACGCATTGACCTTCCAAGCTCGCCAAATAAGTGATGGTGTCATCGACTTTGCCGTTATGGTGCGCGGCTGCGGCATCATAACGAACTGGTATGTCCGACAAAGCCGAAAAAGCAATATCTTCAGTTGTCTACAGTCCCAAGAACAGATGATGCAAACGACGACCCTACCATGGGAGCCACAGGCCTTGAAAGACAGGGATACCATAGCGGCGTGTATTGCAGGTCTAGACAGGCTGCAGCCGCTTCTGCAGACGAGTGCGCATTGGACATTCTATAACACACTGCGACTGGCATACGAGTCATTACTTATCTCCTACCGACACGCATTTATACGGCTCACAATGATCTATGTCGCATGGTCGTGCATGGATAGCTCAGAGTTTCATAGATTCATTGCATCCGCAAATCATATCTCGCGGGCACTATTCATGCATTATATCACTATTGATTCCTTCATGCGACCATTGTATGCAAAGCTCACCGTCATTAAGAACCGCAAGTCCAGCGGGGGTCACTTCCTGATCTATCGATGGGCAGAGGCTATATACGAAGGCTTACCAGGGTCCATTCAGAGATTGGTCTACGATCAATTCCAATATCTTGCCCTAGATTTGATCCCAGATATTGCCGTTCACAAAGCATATTTCCCGCAATGGAATGATGAGCTTGCGAGGTTCGTCTCGTTGCTGCGCAAGCGGCTACCAAGGGATTTTTTGGAATTACATGATATAGAATAGGAATGAAGAAGGGTGAATCGTCAAAAAGCTGAGAGTCCCGTATTCACCACCGTAATCTTGTCGCTTTAAGTCTACCTGGCTCAGAACACACACCTGCAAGACTTCGGTAATATTTGAGAGCTATAAACAGGATTAAGAGCACAACCTTGTGGACTTGGATAGCCAATCGTCATTATTCAGCCTTGCTTGAATATACAAGCGTGGTGCAGGTTGTAACTGAACCAGTACTTATTAGTCCATGTGTGCGGGTCAAAGGGAGCACGGTCAGGATGCAGCTCACGCAATCTCCAAGGGCAACAAGCTAGCTATCTCAAAGTCAGCATGAATAATATTGAGTTGGATGGATAAGATCTTGACACCTACATGAAGTAGCCCTATCAGCGAGCCGCTCTTGCTTGGGTGCAGTCATACATACACCTTCTTGGCGGTGATCCTCACAATGTCACTGCCTGGGGCCAGTCTGCTGGCGCCGGTTCTCTGATTTATCACCTGATTGCAGAAGGCGGGAACCTTGATCCCTTATTCAAGAGGGTACTACTGCAGAGTCCTGCTTTTGGAACCAATGCAGACCCTCAAGTGAATTACAAGCGATGCAGAGACTTTGCGGCGGCTGCAGGATGCCCAACTGAAGGGGAAGATGCACTCCGCTGCTTGCGTTTTAGCCAATAGCACTGCTCTCAAGAAGGCAAATGAGGAGGTGTATCTTGGTGAATCGTACCCGTGCCAAATGGGACATACATTCGGAACCCTGCTCTGTTTGAGTACGCTACTGGTAAGTACTCAGTGTTGTGCATTACTCCCACCACCAAAAACAAACAGAAAAGAGAAGG